AAAATTATAAAACACGTATCCATCATTATTGCACCAATATTGAGTTATCTTATTAATTTGAGCATAGAGTGTGGGACTTTTCCCAGTGAATTAAAAATTACTATAATAAAACCGCTTTTTAAGAAAGACAACAGAGAAAATATGTCCTGTTACAGACCTATTGCTCTGGTACCAATATTTTCTAAGATTTACGAAAAAGTAATTAATAATCAAATTACTTCATATTTGAAAAAAATAATTTACTAGTTGACAATCAAAAAGGCTTCAGGAAGAACAAGTCCATTGATATGGCCATATACGACTTTCTAGATAAAGTTAGCAGTCAAGTAGATAAGAAATTACCAGCTGTAGCACTTTACATGGACATGACAAAGGCTTTCGATCGCGTTGATCATAAAATACTCCTAAGTAAACTAAATGCATATGGAATTAGAGGAAACGTATTGAGTCTAATTGAATCCTACCTACATAACAGACGGCAAATGACAGTTATCAGTAGAATCACCAAAGATAGCGAGGTAACTTATAGGTCTGGTCAGAGAACTGTTACTTACGGCGTACCACAAGGTAGTGTCCTTGGCCCGACTCTGTTTATTATTTACATAAATGACTTTCCAACATCATCAACATATCCAATGACCATGTTTGCAGACGACAGTACCTTACTATTTGATGGTGATGACTTAGAAACATTAGAAGCAGATATAAATGCTAACATTGAATCTGTTGTAAATTGGTTAAAACATAATAATTTGATCATAAACCTAGAAAAGACGGCAATAATGAAATTTGAACAGCGAATGGATCAATACAAAAATTTAATCGTAGAATATCACGGAAAAAGAATTAATGAACAAATGTAACAAAATTTCTAGGACTAAGTATACAGAAAACATTGAAATGGAATGTTCATATAGATAAGGTGTGTAATAAGTTAAATCAATATTCCTATGCTCTTCACATGTTAAATAAAACTGCAAACCGAAAAACAGTGTTGACAGCATACCATGGTCTAGTAGCATCAACATTAAGATATGGAATAATTTTCTGGGGGAATGCAACCGGTAAAGAAATGGTATTCAAGTGTCAAAAAAGATGCATTAGGGCTATTTGTAATCTGCAGTCTACCGACAGCTGCTACACTTTCTTTAAAGACCTCAAAATTTTGACGGTCCCCTCATTATACATCTATGAGACTGGTATGTTCGTTAAAAACAATTTTAATAATTTTGACCGAGTAACCAGTCAACGTCGTTGTGACCAGTTACACTTATTAAAATCTAGAACTGCACTATACAGGAACAGTATCTTTGCAATGGCTCCAAAAATTTATAATAAACTGCCTAAATATATAAGAAATGAAAATAATATTAGACTTTTTAAACGTAAATTGACATTATTTTTAATTGACAAGACATATTATTCTATTGACTTATTTCTAAATGATACATTTTGACATACCATCATGATTCTTATATACTTGTTTAATTTAAATATATTAATAATGCTTGGTACCTGCCTAACTTAATAACTATTTGTACACCAATTTTATTGGTAGAACATAGAGATGCTATTAATGTATGTTAAACACCCTTCTGTATAACCTGTGTTCACAAATAAATTGATTTGATTTGATTTGATTTGATTTGTTTTTGAAGAAACGAAGATATGTCTTGGGTTTTGATTGGTAATGGTGATATCGAATACAACCCTGTAAATATTTTTTGAAATATTATGATTTTATCTAAAGTATTTTTCGAAGCTTATAGGTATTACAAAGTCCGTCACGTAGTGTTAATCTGACACGTGTATCAACTTAAGCCGGTGATAAGTTAGATAATAATATACGTTGCATATGGTGGCCCGGAGGTTTAAGACGCCCGTGTCACACGCATGAGAGTGCGGGTTCGAAACCTACCAACGGCAAGTAGGTACCACTGTGACCTTTTCTGAGTTATATGTACTTTCTAAAGATTATTTATCACTGACAAACGATGAAGAAAAACATCTTGACGAAACCTGGACTTATAATTTCTAATTATACTTATAATTTCTAATTATAAGTTGTAATCGCCTACCCGCATTGAGCAAACGTGTTGATTGATGCTCAAACCTTCTCCGTGTGAGAAGAGGCTTTGCTCAGCAGTGGGCATTTATAGGCTGTTAATGATGTTGATGAAATACAAGCTTTTCCCCGATTTTGTGTGTGGATAAACGAATGGGCAAGCGCTTTGCAGGATGTCCAATATGTCCATCTACGTGGTAGACGGACGATATGATAAAGGTTACAGGGATTCCAAAAAGTATTATTAGGAGTCATTGGGGGACGGCTATGTTCAGTAGCAGGTAGTGAATGTCTTTTAACTGATATGATGATGAAGCGTCCAGCTTTTTACATTCTTGTCATAATTTCCTTTAGGAGCTATTTCCAGTTTTAGGACATAGGTACTTTTAAAATGTGTATTTATAAACAAGGCATGAGAGAGAGCGATTCTTCGGCACGAATGGGTCCTCACGAATGGAGTGATAACACAGCTTTGCACGAAATCGGCGTGAAGCAACGCTTGCGTTGTTTCGGCCCGCAATCCATTTACGAATCCTCTGGTGTTGCACGGTGTTCATGGGTTTCGCCAATTGTTTACCATCAGGTAATCTGTCTGTTCACCACTTTATCCCATACAAACTCGTAGCACATCAAAAATATGAACGATTGTACTGCCTTTGACCGACCGACAGTCTTATCTATTACCTAATCGTGACCTAGATGCTCCCATGTTTATATTGTAAATCTCACTGTGAAACAGCAAATTATCTTAATTATTGTTTTAAACATAAACAAAAAGAACGTTTGTTTATATCTTGGTAGGTTGCGTACGTTTCGTAGTACGTTTTGATTAGTAATCATGATAATTTGTAATTACAAATTATAATTTATAATAGGCCTGTGTCGTAAATTTCAAAAATGGCTAATTTTTGAAATTTACTTCACAGAATTTCAAAAATGGCTAATTTTTGTAATGGGTAGTTTTGTACCTGTATTACCCAAAAAATAAAAAAATATTAAGGTATTTTTTTGAATTCAATTTGTAAAAAAAAACGATCCTCAAACTCCTAATCCCTAAAAGACCGGTAACGCACTTGTAACGCCTCTGGTGTTCGAGGTGTCCATGGGTGGAACCGATTGCTTACCTTCAGGTGATCTGTCTGCTCGTTTACCGACTCATGCTATAAAAAAAAGAAATAAGTTAAAAAGGTAATATAGGACTTCCACGCCAGCAAAGCCTTGGAGAGAAGCGAGTAACAATATAACTAAACAATGCGACCAGTGTAGATCGCATGCTAATTAAAATAAAACCTAATAATCATCTTGCTCCTGTATGATATTACTAATAAAGCGAAACATATTATTATTATGGTCGACTGTGCAACGAGGAATTCTAGAGGTATAACTATCGGTAGTGACAAAGCTTACGGGATGTTTTATTGGTACCAGTAGCTTAAGAATGTTGCTTAAGTATAACTTGTCGTCCATTTCTAGATTAATCTCGGTCGAGGAAAAATGGATGAGATCTCGCTAGATTAACGATAGTTAAAATTCATTAAAAAACTATCTTCTGCCTTTAACGTCGTTCCCGTAACTTTAGGCAGAATTCTTTTGTTCCAAATTTCGAGAAAAATCGTTTGTCTGATAATCATATATTTTTTCTTAATGCCTGCTGTGTGACTGCCTCGTTGGTCGCAAGTGCAACAGCCGGGCAAAGGGTCTTGGGTGTGATTCTCGGGTCTGGCTAAGTATTATTGGGTTTAAAAAATCTCAGTGGTAACACGGGGTCTGAAATTGTGCCCGGTATATGGCAATGGGCTAACCCCCTGTTACATGGGACTTATAAGATAAATAGTGAAAGGCAATAAGGCATTAAGAGCCGTAATGTGCACATGTGTTATGTTGTGTTATGTTATTTTATCCAAATTTTTTTCAATAATATTATTATTTGTAAAAAAAACAGGACTGATTTCAATCTGCAAGCCAACGAGCAAAACTTTTTGTTAATAAGCCAATTAAGCTGACCATATGGTATGAGAGCTAGCAACGACAACATCAGTAAACCAGAACTAAACAACAAACGAGGGAATAAAAAACGAAAAAAAAAATCAAGAAACTGATCAAAACAGTCGTCTTTGACTCACGATATAGGTACCTTCCTAAGTATTATGTTTAAGAAAGGACTCTCTAAATCAAATCTGGCAGAATCGAAACATACAAGAGGATTTCATTCAATCAAGATTTTTATACGATTTCTAACTCCGATATAGTAATTGAATATTACTGAATATATATATATATGTATTTTATTTTCGGAAAATATTATAAAAGAAACTTCTTTGGAACTATTTCAATTTATCGTTTTTATTTTTTACTCTAGTTATAATTTTTTGTGAGAAGTTCAATATCCTCTGAGACTCTGACCTTTCACGATTTAAAGGTACAAAAATACTCTTAATGTAAGTATACGTATACATTTTTTTTCATAGTAAATATTGAATCGCCAGTTTAACCATTGATTGCCGATTTTTTAGTAAACGATCGCGTATATTCCGGTTTTTCCTAAAAATAAATGGTAAATTACAAATACCCAAAAAATAATCTCTAACTTTCTTAAAACTTACCCTGTAGTTATTTCTTGCATTTTTAACAGAAAAAATCTCTCTAACGGCTCTCTCTGTGCCCACTATAATCATGATGACAATACAAAAATTCCTGAAATTATTTTCTCAGAAAAAACGCAAGTCAAAACACGACCCACCACTAATATACATTATAGATTATGATAATTGCCCAAACATCTATGTTTTACTTCAACCGAATGAACAAAAAAACATTGATAACAGCCGAGTATAAGTAACGCGGGCAAATTACGTCTGTATGTTACTTGTTGATCTCTGCTCGAGAAGTCGACAGCGTGTTCATACTGTAATAACTTGCATACTAAAAAGTAAAGATGGTATTGTTACCAATTACTTTAGTCCTGATTACTTTAGTACTGGCATGGTACTTCGTTGGGACATATAATGAAAATTATTGGAAAAAACGTGGTGTTGTCTTCTACAGCAAAAACAAAGTCTTAGGACCAATGTGGGATTTCTTAGTGTCACCACGTCCCCTGTTCCAAGTCTTTGGAGATCTGTATAAACAATACAGACATGAACCCGCCATTGGTATGGGCCAGCTATTAACTCCATCGATGTTTGTCATCAATCAGAAAAATGTTCAGCAAGTTCTATCAGGTGACTTCCAATCTTTTAATCACAGAGGCATTGAAAGTATTGAAGGTGACCAACTAAGTGATAATATTACCTTCATGAATGGTCCAAGATGGAAGTTGATGCGATCAAATATGACTCCATTGTTCACGGCAAACAAATTGAAGAACATGTATTACATCATGGACAAAAGTGCTCAAGACTTCGTGCAATATTTGAAAAACAATCCCAAGACGACCGAAGGTAATTTATTTGAAACTCTTATGATGTTCTGTAATGCTGCTGTTTGTGGAGCTATCTTTGGCATTGGATCAGAGTCAATCTTCGACACACCTTTCCTCAAGGTTGCGAAAGGCTTATCCCAATCAAATTTATCGGTGAGGTTGAAATTCGTAGGGTTTCTTCTAAGCCCGAAAGTGTGTTCATTTTTGGGCTTAAAAATGTTCAAAGAACATGAAGATTTCTTTGTTAAATCAATTGGTGAAGTGTTGAAACGAAGAAATCAGGAAAATGTTAAGAGACACGACTTTGCTGACATTGCTTTAGCTATACAGAAGAACGGTACAATGAAAGACCGTACAACAGGATACGAGATAGAGCCTACGACGGGTATACTCTCTGCACAGGCATTGTTCTTCTTTACTGCTGGTGTAGAGCCTTGTGCTAATGCAATCTATGCGACGTTATATCTTCTGAGTGTACACCCAGAAATATTAGAAAAAGTGCAGCGAGAGATAGATGAACATTTTGAAAAATACAATAACAATATAACCTACGACGTCATTAGTGAAATGGAGTATACAGAAAAGGCTCTGAGTGAAGCGATGAGAGTATTCCCTCCAATTGGATTTTTGACAAGACAATGTGTTCAGGATACTGTCTTACCTGTTGGTAATATTCGAGTACAGAAAGGAACCAAAATGTTCACTCCAGTTTATGATATCCATCATGACCCAGAACTGTATCCAGACCCAGAAGTGTTTGACCCTGAGCGATTCTCCAAGGACAGGAGACCTAATGACGACATTTACATGCCATTTGGGATGGGTAACAGGACGTGTATAGGTGCCAGGTACGCCAAGTTGCAAGTGCAGGCTGGCTTGGTGCACGTCTTACGTAACTTCACTGTTACATCGAAGCAAACAGATAAAACGGTAACATTTACGCACGACGCGTTTAATGTGAGACTAAAAAATGTTGATGTTCAGCTTATTCCTAGAAATGTGAAATAGATAGATTTGTGACTTAACGTGGCTGCTTATCAAATGGAACTGTGTTAAACTGAATGACTTCGTAAGTTGTACCTATGTATGTAAATAATTGAGCTTTTATGTTTTAAATGATTTTTATGATTATTCTTTAGTTCAATGAAATGCATGAAGATTAAAAATAAAAAAAAAATAACGTGGAAAAATTTAATTTCATTCATTCCAGGATATATAAATGTAAATGTTAAAAGTAAATACTTAAGTTTATTATTATAAATGTTGAATATTTTTTTATCATGGAACAATTATTATATTATTTCATGTATGTAACTATTTGTGTGTGTTAAAATGTAAAATATTTTTTAGTGTTCTGAAGCATTTGTAAACTTAGAAGGCGTAGGTACTACGCCTACCTACGCCTACCTAGGTACCTATACGATATTGTGTTTATTCAAGGGAGAAAATAGAACTTTAGTCATTTTGTGAAGTGTTAATAAAAATATTGAATCGTATGACATTATTTTATTTATCTATGGTTACTTTAATTCTATAAAACATAGTTGAATTAATAACAAATATTAAATGAAAAGATTTTTAACTAATTTTATAATCTGTCTTATGTTACTTAATATATACTTAAACTTAATATTCTTGGAGAATTTAATTTTAACGAAAAATAAAAAAGAAGTAAACGAAATGTTTGATTATTGTTTTTAAAGAAACATTTGTACGTACAAGACTGTATAATATGCACTTAGAACAGACATAACGTAACATCACGCCTTTTATCCTAGAAGGGGTAGGCAGAGGTGCATTACCTACGGTACTTAATGCACTGTACAATGTAATTTTGCACTATTTATGTTATGAGTCCCATGTAATGCCTATTGCCATATACCGGGCACAATGCACTCCATGCTACTACTGACTTGGGAATCGAACCCAAGACCCATTGCCCAGCAGTCCCACTTGCGACCACTCGGCCAACGAGGTAGTATGCACTTAGAACAGCCGGTAATTCTTAAAACTAAAACCATGTACCCATCTATCTATATATATAAAATTCAAAGGTGATTGACTGACTGACTGACTGACATAGTGATCTATCAACGCACAGCCCAAACCGCTGGACAGATTCGGCTAAAATTTGGCATGCAGATAGATGTTATGACGTAGGCATCCGCTAAGAAAGGATTTTGATAATTTCCACCCCCAAGGGGGTAAAAAAGGGGATGAAAGTTTGTATGAAACTTTGTCAGTTTTTAACTGATCGGGTTGAAATTTGGCATGCAGACAGATGTTATAACGTAAGCATCCGCTGTGAAAGGATTTTGATAATTTCCACCCCCAAGGGGGTAAAATAGGGGATGAAAGTTTGTATGGGACTTTGTCAGTTTTAAACCGATCGGGTTGTAATTTGGCATGCAGATAGATGTTATGACGTAAGCATCCGATGTAAAAGGATTTTGATAATTTCCATCCCCAATGGGGGTAAAATAGGGGATGAAAGTTTGTATGAGACTTTGTCAGTTTTAAACCGATCGGGTTGTAATTTGGCATGCAGATAGATGTTATGACGTAAGCATCCGATGGAAAAGGATTTTGATAATTTCCATCCCCAATGGGGGTAAAATAGGGGATGAAAGTTTGTATGAGACTTTGTCAGTTTTAAATCGATCGGATTGAAATTTGACATGCAGATAGATGTTATCACATAGGCATCCGCTAAGAAAGGATTTTGATAATTTCCACCCGTAAGGGGGTAAAATAGGGGATGAACGTTTGTATGAAGCTTTGTCAGTTTTACACCGATCGGGTTGAAATTCGGCGTGCAGATGGATATTATGACGTAAACGTCCCTTTAGAAAGGTTTTTGAACATTCCCACCCCAAAGTGGGTAAAATAGGGGGTGAAAGTTTGTATGATAGTTTGCCAGTTTTAAATTGATCAGGCTGAGACTTTGCATGCATAAAGTTACTATGACATAGGTATCTCTTTAGAAAGGATTTTGATAAATTCCACCCCTAAGGGGATAAAATAGGGAATGAGAGTTTGTATAAATCTTCTTAGCCGTTGAATTTAGAATCATTGAATCTTTTTGAATTACATTCGGTAAAACAATGATTTAGGACCTGGGTAACGTATGATAGTTTTTTCACAGATGTCTCACGAGAACGGGAACTATGCGTCAATGCCCCAGGACTCTCTAACTCTTAACCACTGAACTTATTCTAGAGAGATTCGGTACAACAATAGTCGATAGAATAGTTTTTAACCTTACGTGATCGGGCACTGTACTGGTAAGATCTCTGCGGGATTATTGATTTATTGAAACTACGATAAATCATTTCAAAATAGGTAAATCTTACTTGGGCACTGAATTGATTCTGGTTAATTCTGTCAGAAGTCATTAATCTACGCGGACGAAGTCGCGGGCAACAGCTAGTTTTATATAAACGTGTCCACGCTGTTAGTCTAGTCGGCGGATTCAATTCGACATCAAAATCCACTTATTGATTTTCAGTGGGTTCCGTGAAATAGAACGATTCTGAACGTAGGTACCGGATAAATTTGGTCTTTGTTCGAAGTAAGTGCTGCCAATTTACTCAGTTCGATTTTGAATTTAAGACCTTAATCTTAACATACCATAAGTTGGTGGGAGAGGGTTTGAGAATATTTTAATATCTTTTACCTGCGACTTCGCTCGCGTCACAAAAGGATAAAAAGTAGCCTATGTGACATATACCAATACGCACAGCGCCATCTATACCAATACTTTTGTTTTTCCTCGGGAATATTACATTTTTTCGGGATAATTCCTATTATTTAATCCGGACTAGTATATTGCTATAATATACTAAAGTTAATATACTAAAGCGGAACAAACAAACTAACTCTTTTTTTATATTTGATGGGGCGACGTTTGACCACTATCTCACCTGATGGTAAGCGATGATGCGGTCTACGATGGAGCACGTCGTCCCATAAGCAACCTATTCACTCGGGCCTTGAAGACTCCCAGGTTATACCCTTCAGGAAATACAGACTCTGGCAAAGAATTCCACTCTTTAGCAGTGCGCACAAGGAAGCATGAAGCGAAGCGCTTCGTGCGTGTGGGCGGAACATTCCGATTTATAATATTATAAGTAAGGATTATCAGAAATATAATTTTACCTAACAAAAGGTCTCGCTTATGTCCAGGGCTTAAAAAGAAATTTAGCGTACCAAATATTAGGTACTTACTTAAACTTTCATTATTTTTCTTGTTTGACAATGACAATGACACGTTTCTATTTATGTTTTCTTTGTTAAATATTATTTGTTTAATAGTAATCTTAGTTTTCTTTGTTTAATAATAGACAAACAATAATCTGTATGAGTCTGACACTTGTCTCAGGAAGACGAAGGGAACTTTTTTAAGTGTGGGAGAGCCATGCTTCGACACGAATGGGCCGGCTCGACCGGAGTGATACCACGGCCTCACAGAAAACCAATGTGAGGCAACGCTTGCGTTGTGTTTCGTCGTGTGAGTGAGGTTACCGGAGGCCCAATTACCCTCCCCTTCTCCAATCTTCCCAATTCCTAAATCGCCAACGATCCTCAAACTCCTAATCCCAAAAAGCCGGTGACGCAGTTGTAACGCCTCTGGTGTTCCAGGTGTCCATGGGCGACATCGATTGCTTACCATCAGGTGATCCGTCTGGTCATTTACCGGCTTATGCCATAAAAAAAAACTTTCTCCTTGTTTCCCCAAACGAAGGGATTTAGTGAGGATTTCCCTCTTTGGCTCAAGAAAGCTGTATAGTTTGTACAATGTAGGTATCTAGAAGGATAAATAAAAGGTTTGCTTTTATTAAGTAAAAACAGGATACGTAGATACAAATATTGTATAGTACATAATTATCTTGAGTGTTCAAGGTCGTATTAGTATTTTACAGACTCGTATATAGTCTTTGATTCAAATTCATTCAGTTGTTTTTTACGCGATTGAGTAATAAAGTTCATATAGGTGTTCATATATGTGTTCATATATTATCTATCTATGGTAAAACCCGTTTCCCGTTGCCACGCCATAACTAGAGAACGGCTAGACCGATTCGGCTGTTTTTTTTTTGTTGTGTTTGTTATCGTCAAGAGAAGGTTCTTATGACAGAAAAAAGTCCTGAAAATTCTACGGGAATGAGAGAAACGGGATTGCGCGGGCATGAGCTAGTTCTGAATAAAAATACTTTTGATTCACACAAAAAAGCCAGTTTTAGAACCTACTTCTTAACCGTGTTTGTTTGTGGATATGTCTAATTGCATGAATGTATTTAAAATGAAAACTCAAGCTGCGGATAACCTCTTGTCAACCGGGACTCCAACTCGAAGCTGAAGTAAGAACGGGGTAGATTTTAGCCAGTAATAGTTTGACACTCTGGGACTGGAAGAGTAATTTGATGATTATCGACTTCAAAAAAAGTGGTGGTACCTACGTAATAATCGGACTAGGTGGCGCTCTAGGGTTCCTGCCTCTTCCCATGAGACAATAACATGTGTATTATTTTCTTATTGTATTGTATATATACTTCGATATTTTTTTAAATAAACGTTCCTCCACAGTCACACCGTCCTTCCTGTCGTGGGTGCGTTTACAAACATACAAGTTCACATACACATGACATCCAGACCCGGAACAAAAATTTGTGGATCACACAAAGAGTTGATCCGTGCGGGAACCGAACCCGGCAGCCGGTTGCCCAGCCGCCGTGTTGTCGAAATTATGTAACTGTTATCTATATCTATGTTATGGTCTGGTCAATATTTTGTGCAAATTCATCATAACATAACATTTTATTGTTATCTAACCTATTCAATGATTTTGCAGTTTTAAGAACCAGTTTATTCTATAACATTTATTTACATTATGACGTTGCAATTTTTTATAGATAAAAATATTTTTTACAGATTATTTGTTGTGCTTTTGTTTATAATATTCCGTAGGTACAACAAATCTATTTTATAATTTGTTGTATCAACACAAGACAAAATAATCACCATTGTGCTATTTATCTGATGCCTCCAAACAGAATTAACTACATATTTATATAATTATTGCCTTGTTGGTCGAGCGGTCGCAAGTGCGACTGCCGGGCAAGGGGTCTCGGGTTCTATACCCGGGTCGGGCCAAATATTACTGGGTTTTTAAAAATCTCAGTAGTAGCACGGAGTCTGGAAATGTGCCCGGTATATGGCAATAGGCTCACCCCCTATTACATAGGGCTCATAACATAAATAGTGAAAAGTGGTTTATTTGGCAATTAGCACACAAAACAAAGATAAAAATACATATATACAAACAAAATACTAATAATAAACTTACAAGAATAGAGATCAGAATTTTAAGTTGTATATGTTGTTTGTTCCACTTTCACATCGTACCTACTAAACCGATTGCTTTGAATTTTTGCAGACGTAATATTTGAAGTCCGGATTAAACTGTCAAACACCAAGCGGTCACCGGTGACCGCGACCTATTGTTCTTTAATTGTGTCTATAAAACCGGTACTCGACGAGTTAAATAATAGGGTACTTTTTAACCCGGAAAAATTTGATATTCCCGAGGGAAAACAAAAATATTGATATAGATGGCACTGTGTGTATTGGTATATGTCACATAGGCTACTTTTTATCCTTTTGTGACGCAAGAAAAGCCGCGGGTAAAAGCTATCAAGAATACATCCATAGCTGAATAAAGGCATTTCTCGATTATTAGCGATTGCTAAATCACTGAAAGTTATAAGATTCGGTGACCGTTCATTACTCCCTGACTGGTGATTGATTGGTTACAGTTTTAGAACGACTTATTTCGTAGTAAACCTGCGAAGCAATTTTTAGTCTAACCTTATAATTAAACCAATTATAATAATAGGTAACGTGAATCGACACGTCTGAAGTTACTGATGTCCTTAGTTTAATGCGTTAGAAAGTTGCTTATATTTTTCGTAACTACATAATAAAATGTGAATAATGAAAAAATCGTAACGTGTTACAATAATGTACAACATTATACAAAATGTTCCCAAAATAAATGCGATAACTATCGATACCGATAGTACCTAGCGCTATCACTTTATTATATTACACAGTCGCAAGTTTATCATCTTTCGATATATAATAAGTAATCAAAGTATAAACTTTAGTTACATTAGTTTGCCAACAATTCCTTATTTTTTGAAGCCCAAAAGGCTTTTATTTCAGCGTTTACTTCAGTCACTATGACTATTATACCTTTGCCTTTGACCCATGGTCAGAAACAACAAAATTATTGCACCTACGCGCTAATTTTGGATTGGAATCCTACATCACAACTTCTCCTTTCCAGAACTCCTAATTGTAAACTATGTAGTCAATTAGTGGTATTAACTTAACCTTACTAACCACGGGCGACGTCATACGACAAATGCATTTGTTAAACGAAAATACACAACATAAATCTGGGGGCACCGCAGTGCCCCCGCCAAGTCTAGCACATAGCAAACACTGCCGTACCATCCTTTACTGGAATCATTTCACCGCATTTTTAGGCCCCTGTCTGAGAACCTCTGGATAAGACCAGGACGAAACGGCAAAGTCCACCATTAACTATAATAATAACGAAATCGTAATAAGGAACCTTAGATTTGGCACGATTTTACTTCTAATCCACGTGGCTTGATACAACTTTTCCTTTCCTATAGCAACAAATAAGTCAATTTGTGGTGTTGGTTTAATTCGTAATATTGACTTATGCCTATAGATAATCTCGTCTTTCTAAATGTTCACTTTTGTTGAGGTTTAAATTTGTCTTTCATTCAGCATCTTTCACTCAAAATGATACGTCTGAACATGAGAATGAAACAAGAGTGCCGAATAAATTCATTAGTGAACCGATCCAAAAATGTTGGATTTCGGCATTCGGCATCATTCATTCCCACTCCAAATGAACAAAAAATGAACTGTCTGCACACAACATGAACTTGGATTTTATTAGATGATCACAAATCAAACTGATCGCGAGAGACGCACGACATCACTCGATGACAAATTAAAAAAAAAACAATGAATGATTGTTCATTTCTTTGTCATTCCACTAAAGTCGTCTGAACATAATGGCAGATAAATGAAACATTCACTGGGGTAAATATTCAATTGAGTGAACCGTCTAATATCATCTCAAGTATCTACTACAAAAAATCGTGCGTTAGAAGTATAAAAGTTCTTATTTGTAAAAATCTGAAGAACTTATAGTTTGATTTATGAAGAACTAGTGTGAAAGTAGCTCCTACGTGAACTGCTACTATGAACGCGCGTCCAAAGTAGCAGTACTTTGAAAACACGTTCGTTAAGCGTGAAATAATCACATGCTTGCTTCAATTAGTAACTGACCAGTAGGTAGTTTCAATAAAAAAACTGAATAATAATGACTTTTGAAACTTTGATTTGTTAAAAAAGTCATGACTTAGCAAAAATCGTACGACTGTCTTCGAAGAAACTAGAGATAACAATAACAGAGACAACCGGCTCCGAGCTGCAATTTAAAGATAACAGCTTAGTATAAATAATGACGACCCAAATATTTTATTTACATAACGTTGAACATCCGAACAAGTAACAAGTGATTTTTATTAATTTTCGAGACAAAATGTTATTTCTACCTTTGAGTTTGATAGCAGTAGGGTTAGTACTGGCTTGGTACCTAATAGGAAAGCGCAATGAGAGCTACTGGAAAAAGCGTGGTGTAAAGTTCTATAGTAAAAACAAAGTGATTGGACCTTATTGGGATTATTTCTTAACGCAACGTGCACTGTTTGAGGTCTTAACAGACCTGTACAAAAAATATAGACACGAACCAGCTATTGGTATTGGTCAATTCTTAACACCTTCACTCTTTGTCATCGATCCGAAGAATGTGCAGCAAGTTTTATCAGGTGACTTCCAATCCTTCAACCACAGAGGCCTTGAAAGTATTGAAGGGGACCAATTGACAGATAATATTCTTATGATGAATGGTCCAAGATGGAAGCTGATGCGACAGAATATGACTCCATTGTTTACGGCAAACAAATTGAAGAACATGTATTACATCATGGACAAATGTGCTCAAGACTTCGCGAATTATTTGAAAAACAACCCCAAGACACGTGATGGTAATTTATTTGAAACTCTTATGATGTTCTGTAATGCTGCTGTTTGTGGAGCTATCTTTGGCATTGGATCGGAGTCAATCTTCGACACACCTTTCCTCAAGCTCGCCAAAAGCATATCACAATCCAATTTTAAAATGAGAATGAAATTCGTTATTTTAAGTATCAGTCCAAAGTTGTTTAAATTATTTAGATTACAAGCTTTCAAGGAGATTGAAGACTTCTTCATTGGTTCCATAAGTCAAGTGATGAAATCAAGAGAAAATGAAAATGTAAAGAGACACGACTTTGCTGAAATTGCTGTAGCTATACAGAAGAACGGTACCATGAGAGATCGTACAACAGGTTGCGAAATAGAGCCTACGACGGGCATTCTTTCTGCACAAGCATTTTTCTTCTTTAGTGCTGGTGTAGAGCCTTGTGCCAATGCAATTTTTTCAACATTAATTCTTTTAAGCAGTCACCAAGATATACTAGAACGAGTCCACCAAGAAATTGACGAACATTTTGAAAAGCACAGCAACAATATCACCTATGACATTATAGCTGAAATGAAGTACACAGATAAGGTGCTGAGTGAGGCGATGAGAATGTTCCCTCCAATTGGTCATTTGACAAGACAATGTGTTCAAAATACAGTCCTGCCTGTTGGTAACATACCAATAGAGAAAGGGACAAAAATGTATACCCCTATTTATGCTATTCATCACGACCCAGAATTGTATCCAGACCCAGAGGTGTTCGACCCGGAGCGATTCTCCAATGATAGGAAACCTAAAGACAACATTTACATGCCATTTGGTATGGGCAACAGGACATGCATCGGTGAGAGGTATGCCAAATTACAAGTGCAGGCTGGTTTAGTTCACGTCTTGCGAAACTTCACTGTCAAACCGCAGAAACATGTAAAGGTAACATTTGCTCATGATCCACTTAATGTGAGACCGAGAAATTGCGATGTCCAACTAATTCCCAGAAATATCAAATAGTTTTCTTAATTGTAATTTAACTTAGTTCAATATTTCTATTGGTTGTAGTTCGGATCGTGTACTGTGACATGATAGAAGTCACTCTGTATAATATACAAAGAGACAATATGTTGTATAGTATGATACTTAAACTAAAGGAATATAGAGGAATACAGAGGGACTAAAGGAATATAGCTAAAGGAATAAATATATAACTAAAGGAATATAGAGGGACACGTCTACTGCCGATGTTTATCAATTAGATGATGTTGTGATAGCCTAATAGCAATAGTTCAATATATTCAATTTGTTCTATTCATTAGAATAAATATTGTGAAAATAAATAGAACATTGTTAATCACTTTAAATGCTAAAGCCAACATCTCTACCTCTATGTTGTGTAATTTTATACTTATTTGAAGACAATATTAAGTCACTATAAATAGTGTCATATTGCTGTACTTACTAGTATTAAGTTTGTATTTTGAAGTAATTTTTAAGAACCAACTTTAACTCATAATTATAAATGTTTATAATTAAACTTAATAAAAGTTATAATGTACTATTACTTCGAAGTTTTGTTGTTTAATTTACACACACATACGTAACACTTATTCTTTGATATGATTTTACTTTTAAATACTCGAATTCAAAATATCATGTCTTTCATTTCTCGAACAGGCAGAGGCCATGGAAGCAGAGGTTGACATGTTAAGGGCAGCACTTACTTATATACCATTAGTTAATCACCAGTTATGTTACAGCATCCAGGACAGAGATAAACCTAACAAAGCTAAAATGTATTACGCAAGTTTGACCCGTCATTTTTGAGGTACTAATGTTGTTACTAACATGATAACCTTCATGACATGATAGTCTTTACTTTTTGTTATTTATTTATTTACACTTTTTGCACAATCGTGGAATTAATGCCTAGTGGCATTCTCTAACAGTCAACCTTAGGGTGATGCAGAGAGACACAATAAGTGTAAAGTTTAAGATTCTTGTGAGTTGGTCACTGTCCGTTCTATCCGTACTTTATTCAAAAAACCAATCAAAATCATTTATTCATTACATTTTGGGTAAATTTACTGCCTCATTGGTCAAGTGGTCGCAAGTGCGACTGCTGGGCAAGGGGTATCGGATTCGATTCCCGGGTCGGGCAAAGTATTACTGGGTTTTTCAAAAAATCACAGTCTGGAATTGTACCCGGTATATGGCAATAGGCTCACCCCCTATTACATGGGACTCATAACATAAATAGTGTAAAGTGGGTGTTATATTGTACAGTGGCATAATGTACACCTCTGCCTGCCCCTTCGGGGATAAAAGGCGTGATGTTATGTATGTTATGTGTATTTTGGGTAAATAATTAGGATCATATGTATATATTTCCACAGGGTTCACATTTAGGACCACTTTTTAACATCTTTTTTATGATGTTATAAGACTGTTTCTAATTCATATACGTAAAATATTCGTTTTAACTGAGTATTAGGTACTTATTAAGATAAGTTGGTGTATGAGGTGCCTGCTATATTAATAAGAATAGGTAATTAATTGATAAGATTGTAAAGTAGGCAGACCCTAACTTCAACTTTATTTCTTTTTAGGTACTTTTCCCAATTAGTTTTTTGAGTCGGCACTGATTTTTAACCATATTTCACTGAATGTTTGGAATCGACTACAAAGTAGACTTATAATAATAGACCAAAAAGATACTTTTGAAAGTCAAATCACAAATTTAGTTTAGAGACATTTTTACTAGTGGCGTTTCAGTCCATGTTTAGGACAGCCCCTTTACTTCATATCCTTCATATCCATGTCGCGGAGAACCTAACGGGTAACCGGGGCTCCGGCTCGACGTGCATGGGAAGGAACGGGGTGGTTTTCAGTCAGTAAGAGTCTGACACTCCCTCCCGCCTCATCCAGGCAGAAGCAGTCATTCGATGATTTTCCCCCTTAAAAAAAATCCTTCATATTCATATGTTACTTATGTAACGTGAACCTTTCTGTCAATAAACATATTTTTAACATTATTCATTTATTTAAAATGTATCAAATTTTAACTAAAAAAATGAAGTCATTTTAGTAGTTTAAGTGACTACTATTTAGAAGTGAAGGCTACTATAATAAATAAAGGGTTTTGTAGTTGCAAGATATTCTAAAACTTACCATATCAAAATATCGCTTAGGGCACCTGAACCCCTCACACGTCAGCCGTTGCAGGAGACCCTCTGGGCGTAAGAGATTGGGAGAGAGTAAGCACAGGCACTGCGGACGGTGAACATGAGGGTACCTCGCCGTACCACCAGAACAAGACCCGAGCGTAGGACCTATATCCGATACGGAGCCGCAGAAGACTTGACGGGTTACCAGGGCACCGGCTCAAGGAGCAGGAGTAGGAACAGGGTGGTATTTAGTCAGTAAGAGTATGACGCTTCCTCACGGTTAGGTGAGGCCCAGGCAGGAAGAGTCATTGAATGTTGTTACCCCTTCAAAATCATAATACTCATACTCAATTTCAGAATAAAAAAACCGTAGAAAAAATTTATGGACCATCCATAGTTTGACTACCTGATTAGTCAAATCGATTTGATTGGTCGAGGAGTAAAATGTTTAGACTTTTTAATAGTTCAAATATTTAGCCATAGTACCCAGTGAATGCCTATATGCTCGTTCTATATTCATGGACTTTAGATAAAAGATAATGATAATTTAATTACCAACTAGTTTATGTTAGCTACAGTCAATAAAGTTATTGTGTATACAGCAGCTGTAGCCAAATGCCACTCAGCGCTTGTCTACATTTAGAATAGAAAACCAAATTATTATGGGATTGACGTAAATTTTGACACTTGTCAGTGTCATCCCATACATTTTGATTTCTACTCTCTCTGTAGACAAGCGCTAAAGTGGCGTTTGGCTAAAGGCACAGGTAAGAAAATAAAGACTAATTGAATATAATGACAGTAACCATTGATTGGCTACTAAGTGGACCAATAGTTACAAAAGATATGGTTATATTATTAAAGTATAAAGTTCAGTATAACCATAGCCATTGTCTCTGTTATTAATTAATGTTTATTTTCTTACCTTCTAAGGTAAAAACTTAATACTTGAGGAAAGTTTATTGTAATATATTATACAAAGTTTTCACACAATAACGTAATGCGTGTTCCAACTTTTAATTCAAATGAACATATAACTTTTTGGGCGGGAAACTTTACTAATCTGTCACAGTTGACAGCGTCAACATGACAGCTCGTGCTGCCCATAACATATTGGACTAACTAGTGACGTTCAATTAGTTGATTCTCGTCGTCTACTAAATAACTTAGCTGACTGACTGTACATCTCTCCCTATCATCGAAAGGACTGTTATTTATATTCTTTTTTTAACCGCGTTAAAAAATGGAGGGTTTCTGTTTCACCTGTATGTAAGTATGTTTGTGCGGGATTATCTCGCAATTGTCTAAACCGATTTTGATGCGGTTTGCAGAAAGAAAAGTCGTTGTTACATTTAGGAGAAGGCTGTAGTATACTAATTTAATGACTTCAAAAAAAAAAATTAAGAATTATTCAATTGAACTATATAAGAATTATTCTCTGCTTACCCCTTCGGGAATTAAAAGTCATGGGGTTCTGCAGCTATCTGCGTTTAGGTCACAGACGTAGGATTTTCATATTATATATATTATCTGATAAAAAATGTGTGTTATTATTAATATGTGCCAATAAAACTTCGAAGTAAGTATATAAATGATTTATTTATTAACTAATTGAGTATTAAAATAAATTTTACAACAACATAAAGTCGTCAAGGATCACGTCCACATCCAGAAATAATTTCAAATAACAATAGTTAAGACACTTATCAATATTTTCTTTCTAATTGACTAAGTTCTGTAAAAACGAACTTTACTTTTATTTTATACAAAATAGTTCTTGAACAATGTCCTTCAGCTTTTTCCTTATCGTATTTATTTATTATCACATAGTCATATCATCCTTATTAATATCATTTTACACGGTAGCGCGTGATACAAAATTATATTAACTTATGTCTATATTTTTATCAGTATTTACAAATATACTAAATCAATAACATTTTTATAAAAAACAAACATGTAAATTGATTATCATATTGATCACACTAAACCATATCTACTACGTCCAGTCATTATTACTATTGCGCCTTAATTGGCCCATCTTCAACATACAACATGTCTTCCTTTAATTAGACAACTTGAGTTTCTAATTAATCACAATAAAGACACGGCAGGTGAAGAATTATGTTTTTTTATGATCATTACATGCAACAGTCTCATATAGTGTTCCAGTAAAAGACAGCTTATTGTTGCCTCTTCTATACACAACACTAGGTGAAGTGAACCACAAGAATTTAAAATATTAAAATAAAAATTCTCAACATATCCAAGAAACCTTTTAAATGTTTCTCGGAATTATTTGCACATCGATATTTCTTGGTCTCACATTAAGTGGATCATGAGCAAATACTACTTTTTGATGTTTATGCGGTTTAACAGTGAAGTTTCGCAAGACGTGAACTAAACCTGCTTGCACTTGTAATTTGGCATACCTCTCACCGATGCATGTCCTGTTGCCCATACCAAATGGCATATAAATGTCATCTCTGGGCTTCCTATCCTTAGAGAATCGCTCCGGGTCGAAAACTTCTGGATCTGGATACAATTCTGGGTCGTGATGAATAGCATAGATTGGAGTGAACATTTTTGTCCCTTTCTCTACTGGGATGTTACCAACAGGCAGAACTGTGTTTTGAACACATTGTCTAGTCAAGTGACCAATTGGAGGGAATACTCTCATCGCCTCACTCAGCACCATATCTGTGTACTTCATTTCACAAATAACATCGTAAGTTATGTTGTTGCCGTGCTTTTCAAAATGTTCGTCAATTTCTTTGTGCACTCTTTCAAGTATGTCTGGGTGACTGCCTAAAAGAATTAATGTTGAAAAGATCGCATTAGCACAAGGCTCTACACCAGCAGTGAAGAAGAACAATGCCTGTGCGGAGAGTATACCCGTCGTAGGCTCTATCTCGTATCCTGTTGTACGGTCTCTCATGGTACCGTTCTTCTGTATAGCTAAAGCAATTTCTGCAAAGTCGTGTCTCTTTACTTTTTCTTGTTCTCTAGATTTCATCACTTTACTTATGGAGCCAATAAAGAAATCTTCGTATTCATTGAAAACTTTTAATCTCAATAGGTTAAACAACTTGGGACTGAGATTGAACAATATGAATTTTAACCTGATACTAAGGTTGGATTGTGACAAGCTTTTTGCAACCTTGAGGAAAGGTGTGTCGAAGATTGACTCTGATCCAATGCCAAAGATAGCTCCACAAACAGCAGCATTACAGAACATCATAAGAGTTTCAAATAAATTACCAGCACGGGTCTTGGGATTGTCTTTCAAGTACTGCACGAAGTCTTGGGCGCTTTTATCCATGATGTAGTACATGTTCTTTAATTTGTTTGCCGTAAACAATGGAGTCATATTCTGTCGCATCAGCTTCCATCTTGGACCATTCATCATTATAATGTTATCACTCAATTGGTCCCCTTCAATACTTTCAATGCCTCTGTGGTGAAAAGATTGGAAGTCACCTGATAAAACTTGCTGCACATTCTTCGGATCGATGACAAAGAGTGTCGGAGTTAAGAATTGACCAATACCGATTGCTGGTTCTTGTCTGTATTTTTCGTATAGGTCTCCCAAGATTTCAAAAAATGCACGTTGTGATGTTAGGAAATCCCAGAATGGTCCAGCCGCTTTGTTTTTGCTATAGAACTTTACACCACGCTTTTTCCAGTAGCTCTCATTGCGCTTTCCTATTAGGTACCAAGCCAGTAGTAAGCCCACTGCTATAAGACTTAATGGTAGGAACAACATTGTGTCTTCACTGTCACGAGTTATTACAAAAATCACAACAAACACTTGTTAATTCGTTAGTGGTTTTACATAATATGAAGATAATAATATTTTGCTTGTTATTTATACTCTGCTGTTATCAGTGGTAGCCACGGATAAGTGTTCCGAAGATATCTCTAGTTTTCACCGGTTCTATCATTCTTATTTTTGCTGAGTCATTATTTTGATTTCAATTTAAATAACATTTTTGAAAGTCATTGTTATTAAGTTTATTTTAGCCAAAATACCTACCTTTTTATTTGTTACCTCTTTGGTAAAAGAAAACAGTCATGCAACATAATATTATTTTGTTTATTATCTTAAGCTGTAAGTCAAGCACGCATGTCTCACAAGAAGCTTCGTGTTTTTGTTCTATTGTGCATTGGTTTTTACGAGACAGTTAAACTAACAGCAACTTAATAAAACATATTATAATACACCCTGAAAATTCGATTTATTGATTGGTTTGATTTACCCGCTGCCGTGCAACGTGTAGCGGATTCGATTCCCGCACGGAGCAACTTTTGTGTGATCCACAAATTGTTGTTTCGGATCTGAGTGTCATATCTGATATTGTATGTTTGTAAAAGCACAAACGACACAGGAGAAAATACAAGCGTGTGGGGCAACGTTTAAAAAAGGTAATAACATTGTCTCATGGGGTCATCGATGCCTTGATCTGCTAGGGTGGAATAAAAGGCGTTAGGTATCAACATTATCATTAGGCGTTAGGTATTATCAACATCCATCAGTGTTGACTGTTGAATCTGCTTGGACTGATTACACATGAGGACAAAGACTAGTAATAAATTGAAGCTCCGTCTGGAGCTACGAACATAATGTAGTTGAGAGAAAGTTTGGCGAACAAACGAACAAACTTGAGGCTTATTGTGTGCACTGCGGCAACGATAACTTGTGTCATTACTCGCACTCCAGATAAAGCCATGTTAATATTATAAATGTGTGTGCATGTCTACTTGTCTGTCTTTCGTACCAAGGATTAATTTCTGGGGGTTATGTAGTCGGAGAACCGGCGTACAATATGTTTTTATGTTCTTTCTCACAGATTTTTTCTGTGTCAGTTTTGCTGGAAAACGTTATTTGGTATTATGTACACCTACCAATAGATGGCGCTGGTTTGTTATTTTCAATTTCTTTCTGGGTGGGTATTACTTGTACAGTCCGGTATTAACATTAATTTATTTATTTTAAAAATATTAACAAAATAAAACATTAGTAATCGTTGTCATCATTAACATCCGCTGCTGGACTGGGTAAGACCTTTCACTTTGTCTAGTCTAACTGATGGAAAGAACCCTAGTAGAATACTAATTATAAGGAGAATATTCTGTCAACTATCCTAAAGTTCTAGACTGCACAGTTGGCGCAGTGACTGAGCAACCGGCTGCCGCACAACGTGTCGCGGCTTCGATTCCCGCTTCCTGCAGGGAACAACTCTTTGTGCGATCCATAGATTGTTGTTCCGGGTGTGGGTGTCATGTGTATGTGAACTTGTATATTTGTAAATGCACCTACGACACAGGAGAAATCCTAGTGTGGGGCAACGTTTAAAAAAATCAAGCAAACAAAACAAATATTGGTAGAGGTTCCTTTCGTTCTAGAACATTCTAGTTATCTGAAATCACGCTAAATTAAAGAAAATTAAATATCCATTTTACTTAGTTAATAATATTTGTTTTATGATATCATAGATCGTCGAAGGTTCCATGCATTCTACTGGTTCATGTGGTAATTTGATATTTGGATTATATTAAACAAGTGTTAATATTTATTTTATGTTGTCACACTTGGTCAAAGGTTTCATAGATCTATTCTACTGGTTCGTTTGGTATTTGATCGAAGTTAGGTGTGGCTCAACAAGGAGCATGTAATTAAATTCTAATTGAAATAAAACAGCCATGTTATATAATCATTAAATTATTATTACTTAATTACACAATGGATTTAATGCCATATGCCAATACCAGTCAACATAACATAACATAACATAACATCACGCCTTTTATCCCCGAAGGGGTAGACAGAGGTGCACATTACGGCACTTAATGCCACTGTACAATGTAACACCCATTTTTCACTATTTATGTTATGAGTCCCATGTAATAGGGGGTGAGCCTATTGCCATATACCGGGCACATTTCAGACTCCGTGCTACTACTAAGGTTTTTACAAACCCAGTAATACTTTGCCCGACCCGGGAATCGAACCCGAGACCCCTTGCCCGGCAGTCGCACTTGCGACCACTTGGCCAATGAGGCAGTCAACCTTAGGGATTAAGTAGAACATTTCTGTAGATTATGTGCTTGGTCGTCGTTCCTTCACTTCGCAGCAACGGACAGTTTTTAACAGACTTCAAATACAGAAGGAAGTTATCTGTTTGACATACAGTATGTATGTATGTATGTGCGTGATTATCTCGCTGTTGGCTAAACCGATATTGATGAGGTTTTCAGAAAAGTGTTTGTTACACTTTTTTTTAAGGGGAAAAGTCATCGAATGACTGCTCCCGCCTGGGTGAGGCAGGAGGGAGTGTCAGACTCTTACTGACTAAAAACCACCCCGTTCCTTCTCCTGCACGTCGAGCCGGAGCTCCGGTAACCCGTTAGGTTCTTCGCGACAAGTGTTTGCTACACTTAGGAGTCGGTTTAGTATATGTATAAATAAAGCGATTTAAAAATAGGAGGTTAGTTTAGTAAGTTAAGTAGTCGTTTTTTAAGGCGAAGTTTATATAAAAAAAAAACTATTATGGTATGTTTTTTACTGAAGACTTACTCGTTGGCCAAGTGGTCGCAAATGCGACTGCCTTTGCAAGTCGCAGTTCTAGGGTTCGATTCCCGGGTCAGGCAAAGTATTACTGGGTTTTAAAAAAATTCTCAGTAGTAGCACGGAGTCTGGAACTGCCCGGTATATGGATTGCCATATGGGGGTGAGCCTATTGAGGCTCACCCCCTATTACATGGGTCTTATAACATAAATAGTGAAAAATAGGTGTTACATTGTACAGTATTATTCATTATTCATTTTCACTATTGTAACGTAATTACACTTGTATGATATAAAAGAGCGGCGCCTCCTGGTACAAGCATTTATATGCTTAAAAGGGGACGCCACCAACTGTGTAACTTTGTATTAACGTGTAATAACGAAATAAACATTTTTTGATTTTTTGAGTGGCATTAAGTGCCGTAATTTGCACTTCTGCCCACCTGATTATGTTATGTTTTTCTAAAGAAAGTGACTGGACTCTGGAGAGTGATCCTGGCTCTTTTTCCTTCGACCATGTGGACGAAGCCATGCCGTGGGCGTAAAGCTAGTGCGTAATAAGCTGTTGTAAATTTTCAGACAAACAGATTGCCAAACACTGGAGTAATTATAATTATTATTGTAACATAACATAACATCACGCCTTTCCTCCCCGAAGCGGTAGGCAGAGGTGCACATTATGCCACTGTACAATGTAATACCCACTTTTCACTATTTATGTTATGAGTCCCATGTAATAGGGGGTGAGCCTATTGCCATATACCGGGCACAATTCCAGACTCCGTGCTACTACTGAGATTTTTTTAAAAACCAGTAATACTTTGCCCGACCCGGGAATCGAACCCGAGACCCCTTGTCCGGTCGCACTTGCGATTACTAGGCCAACGAGGCAGGCAATTATTATTGTATTATGTAATTGATGTGTGTCATTATCAAATAGTTTATAGTAGAGTTCAAGAGATAACAGCTGTATATCAATCGGCGTCAACTCAAGGTCGACGAGTTTTTTACTTACGGTGCAAACGACGTGTTATTTATAAGTTTGTTGTATTATTTTGGCCTTGATGTCGTAATTATCGTGTCGGTGTTTGATACCAATATTGGAGCGAGATATGTGAAAATGCTCTAAAAAAAAAATACAAAAAAATATGTCATAATTTAAGAGCTTCTGCTTCTACTGTGCTGTATGAAAACATTTTCTTTTAATATTTAATAAAAAATAATAATAAAACGAAACTGAATTTTTCGTCAGTATTAAGTACTATATTTCTATTTTTATAATATATGCCATGTTTGTTTTAATTAATGTACTGGTTAATCATACAATTTTGAATTAACTGATTTAATGAAAGCTATTTCATTCAATCACTTAATAGGATAGAATAGGACAATAGGATTGGGATAAAATAATATAATAACACAATGTTTTATAATCACATAACATTTACTACGTTAACAAGTTTTTGTAAACTAAAACATAAAAACAGTGCCTACAAACTACATTATAATGATATTATTATTACTAGTTAATCTTACAGTACTACAATACACAATAATAATACATTGTACAGTCTAACAAAAAGCCAGTTTGTTTACATCAGTCATCAGTCAATCCCCCATCAGTCAGTCACCTGAGGATAGTGAATCTGGGGAAAATACCACCTCCCATATAACAGGAACTGTCATGTCATGTCCTTCACATAAAAATATTTGTTATCACTAGTTGTAAAAATTAATTAAGTATTAATTTTGAGGCGGAGTTCCCCCTGTTTGTCGATATGTAAAAGCCTATTTAATTCCTCGAGGAACCAACTCAAAACCGATATTTCTGAGTCTTACATTAAGAGGATCATGTGCAAATTTCAACTTTCCACTGGTTTTCGATAGTTGAACAGTGAAGTTACGTAAGACGTGCACCAAGCCAGCCTGCACTTGCAACTTGGCGTACCTGGCACCTATACACGTCCTATTGCCCATCCCAAATGGCATGTAAATGTCGTCATTGGGTCTCCTATCCTTGGAGAAACGCTCTGGGTCAAACACTTCTGGGTCTGGATACAATTCTGGATCATGATGGATATCATAAATAGGTGTGAATATTTTAGTTCCTTTCTCCACTGGAATATTACCAATCGGCAAAACAGTATTTTGAACACATTGTCTGGTCAAAAATCCAATAGGAGGGAAGATTCTCATCGCTTCACTTAATACTTTTTCCGTATACTCCAGATCACAAATAACGTCATAGGTTATATTGTTGCTATGTTTTTCAAAATGTTCATCAATTTCTTGATGCACTTTTTCTAGTATTTCTGGATGAGAGCTCAGGAGATACAACGTCGCATAGATTGCATTAGCACACGGCTCTACACCAGCAGTGAAGAAGAACAATGCCTGTGCAGAGAGTATACCCGTCGTAGGCTCTATCTCGTATCCTGTTGTACGGTCTTTCATTGTACCGTTCTTCTGTATAGCTAAAGCAATGTCAGCAAAGTCGTGTCTCTTAACATTTTCCTGATCTCTTCGTTTTAACACTTCACCAATTGATTTAACAAAGAATTCTTCATGTTCTTTGAAAAGTTTAAAACCTAACGCCGTATACATTTTTGGGCTCAAAGTGTAGAATATGAATTTCATTCTTACCAGTATATTCGATTGCGATAAGTTTTTGGCAAGCTTGAGGAAAGGAGTATCAAAGACTGACTCTGATCCAATACCGAAGATAGCACCACAAACGGCAGCATTACAGAACATCATAAGAGTTTCGAATAAATCACTACGCTGCAACTTGGAGTTATTTTTCAAATATTGCACGAAGTCTTGAGCACTTTTGTCCATGATGTAATACATGTTCTTTAATTTGTTTGCCGTGAACAATGGAGTCATATTTGATCGCATCAGCTTCCATCTTGGACCATTCATAAAGGTAATGTTATCCGACAAAGTGTCTCCTTCGACGCTTTCAATGCCTCGGTGATTAAAAGATTGGAAGTCACCTGATAGCACTTGTTGCACATTCTTCGGGTCAATGACAAACAGTGATGGAGTTAAGAATTGACCGATGCCGATGGCTGGTTCTTTTCTGTATTCTTTGTACAGTTTTCCGAAGATCTCGAACAGGGCTTTTTGTGATGTCATGAAGTCCCACATGGGTCCCACTACTTTGTTTTTGGTATAGAAGGCTACACCACGCTTCTTCCAATAATTTTCATTGTATTTTCCAATGAAGTACCACGCCAGAACTAGAGTGACTAGTACTAGTGTTAATGGTAAGAATACCATCGTAATGTATTTTTGGACGCGTGAATAAACACGAGCGACTTATCAATTGTTTGAATATACAATGTGGTTGAATAATCGGCGCGCAATACTTATACGTGGCTCAGACTCGTTATCAGACTTGTTTGTTTAAACTGTAGGTATGTACCTATCTGTGTCTCCAACTGGTGTGACCACCTACGAACAAAATCACGTATTCATCGTGACTTTGTCGGGGTTTTTTGCCTTGCTGAGCATCTATTTCTTGTTAGCGCTTACTGCCTACCCGTATTATATATAGCTTTTCATTGCGCACATTGTTTTATGATTTAGTTTTTTGTGTTAGCAACAACGTATTAGTTGGAGAACCATCAGTGTTGAACCAGCTACAAAATACTTTTTTTATTACAGTTTTTTTATTAATTCAATTGAAATAAGAATAACAGTTATAAAGAACATCTGTTTGTATCTTAGAACCAGTGATCTATGTATATGCTTATCTATGTAGACACAGATTAGATGATTAAATGTATTTTACTTTAAAATACGTACAAAAGTAGTATAAAGGCCAAATAACTCTTTAACTGTTAAAATAATAAGTAATTAATGTAATAATGACAACATTGTCAAAAAGTTCCTCCTATAAAAATAGAATTGCTTGAATGTCGGATTTATTGAGAAATCGTATAAAAATGCTTTGATTGAATCAAATCTTGTCAAACGTTTCAATTCAAGTAGATTTGATTTGAGCAGAATTTCCATCAGTGTTTAGTCGAGAAAAATACAAGTATGACGTATTTTTCAAGATATAGTATAGAATAGAATATAATATAGAAGATATAGATAATAAACACACTCACACGGCTAAACATCAGCGCTAGTTCACGCTCATTTATTTCAATAAGACCAGAAAGGCACTTTTGAACGTAACAAAAAAAATAAAATAAAAGTGAAGCTATTTGCTCATTCCAATGTGTAGATTCCTGGTAGGTCGTGGTATCACTCCGGTAGAGCCGGCTCATTCGTGCCGAAGACACAGATTACATAAATTTTGTTTAAAGTCCAAATTAAATAATGTAGTTAAGGACGACTTTTGCATCAATTACAAGAGTTGGGTCGCAAAAACTTCATGTTTACTCGAAACTACTAGTGAACGATGCTAACAATGTGAGCGCAAAGCTATTTACTAAAACGAATACAGAAAAAGCAGCATAAATACCCCGTAATTCCTGTGTGCAAGTATTATACACATACACAAATACGTAGCCATATACTATGTTGCAAAAATGCCTGAAATTCAAGCAACAGTACGTGAAAGTTTAAAATCACTGAACGATTTGAATATTCTGCATGCAAGTATTTAACAGCGGCTTCCATGTAATTTGTAGACAATAACACTGATTATGTATGCTGAAGTTTGTACACATTTTGAAAATAAACAGTATTTTTAACATTCGTCCAGAAATGAACATGTTCATGAACGGGCGCCGTCAACTGGGACTGGTTAGCTCAAAACTGTATTATTTACTGTCGTTAAGGTAATTTTCTTTTTCGATCTCTTTGACGTTTTTTGAGAGGGGAAAATCATTGTACGACTTCTCCCGCCTGGGTGAGGCGGAAGTGAGTGTCAGACTTTTACTGACAAAAACAACCCCGTTCCTACTCATGCACTTCGAGCCGGAGCCACGGTAACCCGTTAGGTTCTCCGCGACTCTGTATCGGCATTAGCCCTATTGGGCCCCATCCGTGGTGGTCTGGTGGCTCTTTGAGGCGCTTAAAGTTCCTTTTTGGTCTAATTGAAATAAATTGACACGGTTAGTACAGTGGTTGAGCAACTGGCTGCTATGCAACGTGTCGCAGGTTCGATTCCCGCACGAAACAACTCTGTGTGATCCACAAATTGTTGTTTTGGGTCTGGATATCATGTGTATGTGAACTTGTATGTTTGTAAACGCATCCACAACACAGGAGAAAATTCTAGTGTGGGGCAATGTTTTCTTTTTTTTAACATTGATTTTGACTTTGAATTAACGAGATTTCAATTTTCTGTATATTCTTACGTTTATAATGGAGTCGTAATGTACCAAGTCTTAAGTTTTTAAACAACAATACCTTTAATTAATATGTTTTACTCTCTTTCTTTTCACGTAACTGTTTGACGAGGAATTCGACTAGTTTCAAGGTATTATTAAGCTGAATAATATTACAATAAATTTAGTATGCCCCTCGAAAGTATTGCGTATGTATTTTTCGTTGTATTTTGTGAAATAGCTGCAGTATTTAGTGAAAAAATTCAGATTGATACTTATTATTCAAATATTTCTTAGTATGGTGTTATTGTTCAAACAAATTGTAAGCACTGAAATCTATTTGGATCTAAGACATTATGTGATGTGTCAAAAGTTAAATTTTAAACAAAATATAAAGGACTTTTTCTTCTAATGTTTTCTTAGCTGGTTTGATTTTTATCTATATAATAACCTTCGAAACAGACGGACACACCTCCTTGGAATATACGGTTAATAAAATAAGTATAAAATGGGTCTAACAAAATGTACCCGGTATATGGCAATAGGCTCACCCCCTATTACATAGGACTCATAACATAAATAGTGAAAAGTGGGTGTTACATAGTACAGTGGCATAATGTGCACCTCTGCCTACCCCTTCGGGGATAAAAAGGCGTGATTTTATGTTATGGGTCTAACAAGAAATCATAGTGAGTCAATGTTTTATTAACAGCTCTTCGTGTTTACTAGCTTTTGCACAAATGTCTCTGTATATTGCATCACACAATTAACATATTTTTAAGTTGATGACTAAATCTGATATTTCAACGCCCCCCGTATCAACAAGTAATCTATAGATACCTACTATAGAAAAAATATTGGTTTGAAATGAAACATTATTTCAACATTGATAGGATGATTATCTCTACACCACTTAGAAACAGTGTTACTAACCAATGCTATAACTGTGATCAACAGTTTGTTTCTGTGTGTGTCACGTCATTATGCATGAACAACTTAGCCGTTAACATTGAAATTTTGTTCAGTAATAGATTGACATTGTAACATTTGACAACATCAAGAACGGTTTACTCACATTTTAAGTGTGGAGAGCCATGGGCCGGCTCGACCGGACTGATACCACGGCCTCACAGAAAACCGACGTGAAACAACGTTTCCGTTGTGTTTCGTCGTGTGAGTGAGGTTATCGGATGCCCAATTATCCTCTCCCCAACCTCCCCAATCACATGAATCCATGAACAAGTCTACAAATTCCTAAAAGGCTGGTAACGCACTTGTAACACCTCTGGTGTTCCCGGTGTCCATGGGCGACGCCTATTGCTTACCATCAGGTGATCCGTCTGCTCGTTTACCGGCTTATCCCATTAAAAAACATACTGAGAAAAGCTCTACTAGTTTTCAGTCACAGAGGGACTCTTCCCCTACGGTTTCTTATTATACTTACGTGAGTAAACGTGTAAAATTGCCTCACGACAGTTATTTTACAAATTTGGGAACACCATATCAGTACACGAAGTCGCGGAGAACCTAACGGGTAACCGGGGCTACGGCTCGACGTGCAGGAGTAGGAACGGGGTGGTTTTTAGTCAGTAACAGTCTGACACTCCCTTCCGCCTCACCCAGGCGGGAGCAGTCATTCGATGATTTTCCCCCTTTAAAAAAAATCAGTACACGAACTAAGTCTTGGATTAGCACTGTGATGTTGTATTATACGGCATACTCATGTAATTGTTAAACGAGGTTGCTTGATTGATTTCAAAGCATGCAAAGGGCCCATATTCAAGACCCATTACAGCGGCATACAAACTTCTCGTGGGCGTGGCTGAATATAAGTCCAGTTATCTCGTTATCGAATACCTATTATGAGTATAATAACAAACTAATTAACCGTGTGACGTCCTTAAAGTTGTTTCCAAGTTAAAATAACAAATCATCGTTACTAATTATAACGGTATTCATAATACCTACTCCATTTGTTAAAGACATAAACAATACCTAAATAATTCATTGACGCGTAATAACTATATTGCTTCTTCACAATGATATTTCAAATATATATATAGCTGTCGCTATACACCATCTGGTCCAACATAATACTATGTTAGATAAATTAAAATGACAATGCAGATATTTGTTCCAAAAATAATATTTCAGTTGATAAGGGGTAATACATATTCATGATTCTATTTTAGAACTTTTATTAGTTGTTTGCTAGAGGTTTGCTTGTGTATTTTATTTACCCTAATATTTTATACTTATTTTTTCCTACATTTTTTCAATAGTATACTATATATTTCCCTCTTCCTTTAATATCATAGGTTATGTTTAAGTGTGGGAGTGGCTCTCCTTCGTATGTCTCCTGCAGTGCTTCGGCACGAATGGGCCGGAACGACGGGACTTATACGTGTTTCGTCGAGGATCGTTACAGGGGGCCCAATTACCTCCCCGCCTCCCCAATCTCCTTAATCCCTGAATCCCCAAAAATCCTCAAATTCCTAATAAAAGGCCGGTAATGCACTTGTCTCGCCTCTGGTGTTCCGGGTGTCCATGGGCTGTCGCCCATTCGATGTCGATGTCGATTGCTCACCACGAGGTAAACCGTCGGCTCGATTATAACAAAATAAAAATAAAATTATTTAATACAACCTTATTTTAAAACATTAACTGTAGCCGTGAAACACTGTTTAAATCCAATCTTCGCCAACGCTCATTTTGTCCTTCCATGGAATTTATGGTGGTCTGATTCATAGAACCAAATATTTCCTGTTCAAACAAACATACCAGGTGATCAGTTATTATATTATAATAGATTAAAATACATATATGATTCACATCTCATTGTTTCATTCGTCATGTGACAATGTGTTATCAAAACATAACACTGACATCTTATCGATAATTCGGTATTTTGACTTTATCACATAAAGAATCTTAAGCGGCTAACAACAGTACAAAACATGGCTTAAATGAATATTTATAAAATAATCGTACTTA